TTTTTTTTTAAGTTTTTATTGTGAATTGAGTGATAGTTTACATGGAGAACATCAGCTTTACATTCATCCTATCGTATGTCGTTTCATTGCAATGATTTCAATCCCCTCCATGCATCATCATTCAACAGCATTTGCTTCCAATCCCTCTGTGTTTTTATTTTTTTTTTTGGAAGCACTCAGGAATATATAACCATTCAAACAACCAAAGGGCACACCCCACAAGCCTGCCCCCTGCCGTCAGCACACAGCTCCTTTCCCTCCCTGAGTCCAGAGTCCCCAGCCACTCCATTTCTCCACATCATCATCTCTGCCTCCATCTCTGGTGTCACTGCTTCTCTGGATGCAAGGAGGTTTTTGTTATGTTTTAGTTTGGTTATTTTAGAGGTCTTTTTTTTTAATCACTGACTTGTAAAGAAAGGGTAATCAAATCCATTATACCATCAAAAGTGTAGTTCATTTGCATTAAGCTCATTCTATTTGATAAGCAGAGAAATCCACACACAGGGTGAGTTAGCAGGAATGGCTGCCAATGACACTTCAGATAACACTTATTGAAAGATTATGAATAATATCCTGATTACAAATGAAAGTTTGGTCTCACCTTTTTAGCCAAGAATTAATAAAGACTACATATCGTTTTTTAGTCTAATGAATAGCAGAGTAACTAATTAGAGTAGTAACAGCCTAGCAAATTATTCCAGATTTCAAGTGCAGTCAAAGTGCCATTTTGTCGTAGATAATATAGAACTTATAGCAACAGATGTGAATAATAAGTAGGAATTGAGAGTACCCAGGAATAGTTAAGCTAATGATTTTCAAATCAGAATTATTTAGTTTATGTCTTAGGCTGGATTCTCTAGAGAAGCAAAACCAGTGAAGCTTATATATGTATATAGAAAGAGAGGTTTATATCAAACAAATGGTTCAACGGTTATAGAGGTGGGCAAGTCTCAGATATGTGTGTCAGAGGATCCAAGATCGGCAGGTTAGATGGTAAGCATGCAGGTTGGGCAAGTAAGATGGTAGGCTGCTGCTGATTCTCAGGAGTGGCAGGTAATAGAACAGTCCACTGGCTCAAATCCAGATGACAAGCTAAACATAGGATCCAGACCCAGCAGAAAGGAAAGCAAACTTTGCCTGAGTGTCCAATATATTAGAAGCAGGCCACACCCTCAAGGACACTTCCTTTCAATTGATTGGCTGCTCACAGCAGAGTTCATCATGGAGATGTTAACATGATATTAGATCTCATCATGGGGGATTAGTACATCTTCACTCCCAAACTGATGAGCATCCTGGCTCAGTCAAGTTGACATAAAACTTAGCTATCATAGTCATCTCTTGCCAACATGGCATCTGTACATATCACCTTAAACCATTCATAATTTCTAAATAAAGACAATTATAAAGCCTAATAGGATACAATTAACATGCATACAACCAAGAATGCACTAACCCCATTTGTATATTTCATAAATGAAAAAAGATATTTGATGCACACATATAAATAAAAAAATATTCATAACAATTACAGTCTTTGCTACTGCAACAGGTAACATGGCTATAGATGGTATTCAGAACTACTTTCTTCCACCATGCAAAGGGTAATCTTAACTTCCAGTTCTATGGAATTAGTGTTGTTTCTCTATGTGGGAGTATTCCTTCCTTAGAAATGAAAGTGTCCAGACTAGTATAACATAGGGTTGCAGGGACAAGAAGTAAAAATCTTTGGAGTGGGTCACTAGGAGTAATAGTGAGTGGTGCCACTCCCATTTCTACTCCTTGATTCCCGTTCACATGAATCCTGGATACAGGAGAAACAATACCATATATTGAGAGCTGATTTTCTCCAGGAACATCTACAGTCTTCTCAAGAACATTGTTCCAACCCTGTAAGGTATTGCCACCTAGGTGGCACTATAATTGTGCCTTTAAAAGGGCATTCAATCTTTCTATCAAGCCAGCTGCTTCAGGATGATGTGGAACATGGGAACACCAGAGAATTTCATGAGTATGGGCCATTTCCACATTTCGTTTGTAAGTGGTTCCCTTGATCAAGGTAATGTTGTGTGGGTTATCATAATGGTGGATGAGGCATTTTAAAAGTCCACAAATGGTTGTTTTGACAGAAGCATTGCATGCTGGGAAGGCAAATCCATTTCCAGAGTGCTTATTCATGAAAGAACAAAACTCTGTTCTTTCCATGATGGAAGTGGTCCAATGTAATCCACCTGCCACCAGGTTGCTGGCTGATCTCCCTGAAGAATGGCCCCATATCTTGGACTCAGTGCTAGTTTCTGCTACTGGCAGATTGGGCACTCAGCAGTAACTGTAGTCAGGTCAATCTTGGTGAGTGGAAGTCCATGCTGCTGAGTCCATGCATATGCTCCATCCCTGCCACCCTGGCCACTTTGTTCATGAGCCCATTGGGCAGTGATAGGAGTGGGTGGGGAAAGAGGATGATTAGTTTCCACAGAACATATCATCCTATCCACTTGATTGTTAAAATGCTCCTCTGCTAAGGTAACCTTTGGTTATCATTCACATGAGACTTAAATATATTCACTTTTTGTCCTATTCACAGAGGCCTGCTCACATACTTCTTCTCCACATCTCTTTGTCATCAATTTTCCAATCATGTTCCTTCCAAATCCTTGACCATCCAGCCAAGCCATTGGCCAAAACACATCTGGCCATTTCTCCTTCCAGGCAAAATGAACAACCAGATGCACTGCTCAAAGTTCTGCCCATTGGGAGGATTTCCCTTCCCCACTGTCCTTCAGGGAAGTCCCAGAAAGGGTCTGTAGTGTTACTGCTATCCACTTGTGCAGAACGATTTGTAGTACAAGCATGGGCTTTTTTCTTCTTGAGTCACCTGATCATAAGGAACTACCCCATGTAGCCACAGGTGCAGGCTTTGAAAAGGAAGGTAATGTGACAGAAGTGGAGACCATGGACATTTGGACCACTTCTTCATGCAGCTTACTTGTGCCTTCAGGTCTTTCTCGAGCCTGATCTCATCTACACTATTTCCCTTTCATGATGGAATACTGCTGTGTACATCCAACTATGTAATTTTGTGTACCATGAGATGATACTCAGTTCATGGGTAGCTCAGGTCTCATGGTACTTGATGACCGATGGTTAGGTATTCAGTTTCTAGTAAGGCCCAGTAACACGTCAAAAGCTTTTTCTCAAAAGGAGAGTAGTTATTTGCAAAGAATGGCAGGGATTTGCTCCACATTCTAAGGATCTGAGCTATGATTCACCAATAGGGGCCAACTAAAAACTCCAAACTGCATCTCTATCTGCCACTGATACTTTAAGCACCATTGGATCAACTGGATCATATGATCAAAATGGCTTACACAGCAACTCGAACCTGTTGTAAGCTTTCTCTTGTTCTGGACCCCACTCAAAGCTAGCAGCTTTTCAAGTCACTTGGTAAGTAGGCTGGAGTAGCACACCCAAATGATTCATTGCCTCCAAAATCTAAAATGACCCACCATGCATTGTGCCTCAGTTTTAGTTGTAGAAGGGGCCAGATGAAATAGCTTATTCTTCACTGTAGTAGGAATAGCTTGACATGCCCCATACCACTGGGCCCTAGAAATTTCCCTGAGGTGGAAGGTGCCTGAATTTTTGTCAGATTAATTTCTTGTCATGGAGGATTACTATGTCTTCCTTGCCAAACTGCTTAGCATTCTGACACAGTCAAGTTGACACAAAACCTTAAGCATCACAGTTAAAATTTATTTTCTTCTCCTAAATTGTCATACTGTTGAACTGGCCTTTGATTTATTGACATTCTAAGATGTGATATGAGTTTTCATTTTGCCTTCCAGGATGCACAGAATCAAAAATTAAAGACAAGCATATGGTACCGAGAGGTAAATGTTTCTTTTGTGCATGCTAGACTCCTGATCTGAATCAATTGAAAAGTATGTTATTCTAAGAATCTGGCATGATCTATGTGTCTGTAGCTCCACACATCCTCTATGGATTCTAATGTTGTTGTTGTCAAGTGCTGTTTAGTGGATTCCAACCCATAGCGACCCTGTATAGGGTTTCCAAAGAGCAGCTTGTGAGCTTGAACCGCCGACCTTGCAGTTCAAATGACTTTGCAGTCTGGTGCATTAACCCACAGTGCCACACCAGGACTCCATGGATTCTAATAAGTTTATTAAAATCCATGTGAGCTGTGTGCCCATGGGTTCTGGTTGGAGCTGCCATCTTTAGGAATTGGATGGAACATCCTCTCCTCTAACTAGCATAGAACCAAGGAACCATAATCAATTTGGATTATTAATCCCAATCTCTCAATTCTTTGGTGAGGTAGAATTTATCTCATTCTGATATATTTCCTGTTTTTGGACTGCTCCTGACAGGTTTGGAATGACGAGTTTTTATCCTGGAACACTAGCATGTTTGATGAGATTAGAGAGGTCTCCTTACCTCTAAGTGCCATCTGGGCCCCAGATATCATCATTAATGAGTTGTAAGTGTGCTGAGTGTATTTCTGTAAAGTTTACACTACTTAGAGCGCTTAGAATGTTCAAGTCATCAATTGTCATCTACTTGTAGTCAGTGTTGCTGTAAATATATTTATGGTTGTTAAGTGATGTCAAGTCAGTTCCAATTCATAGCGATCCTGTATAAGGTTTCCGAAGAGTGGCTAGTGAGTTCAAACTGCTGACCTTGTGGTCCATTGCTTAATCAGAACTCCATATATATTTTTTTCATTTTTTTATCTTGAACTTGTTTCTGAAGCTAGCTTTTGCTTCTGAACCATAAAAGGAGCACATTTTAGGGACTATTCAGGGGTGGCATACCATGAGTCAGCATCACTTAAGATATAGATTTGATTACTAATGTCTGCGGTTATTAATGGATTAGATCTGTGTGCCAACAGCAGCAAGTGTGGCCATCTTTGATATGGCTAATCACCTCATGGGAAATGCAATTCTCTCTTCACAATGTTAGACCAGTCCTAGGGGTGGTGGTCATTACTAGCTCCTTGTCAATTCTGTTTACATTTTGCAATGACGAAAAGCCTCTCTATAATAATGAATTTCTTATGTTTCATGTAGTGTGGATATTGAGAGATCACCCAACTTTCCTTACGTTTATGTGAACTCATCTGGAACCATTAAGAACGCTAAGCCCATCCAAGTGGTGTCTGCATGCAGTTTAGAGACATATGCTTTCCCATTTGATATCCAGAATTGCAGCCTAACCTTCAATAGCATTCTGCACACAGGTAAGCCCTGAGAGATGCAGGTCAGTCATCAGAAAACACACTGGGATGCAGGATTGATGCACATAGGGAAAATGATATTATGCCATCAGTCAGGTCTGCTTTATTCTTCCCATAATTGACTTTAAAAAAAATCTAAATCTCCTCTTGCAGCTATTCAGTTTCTGCCATAAATCAGACCAAGTAGGATGTTGTGAGCAGATATATAGCCCATTACTGCTGTTGATTTGGGAAGGCATTAGGTTTTCAGTGCCACTGAAAATGTTACGGAAGTCACAGCATCAATTCCATCATTTTATGGATAGTTGAAGCCAAACCCTAAATTCAGAGTTTTGTTTTTCTCATGGCTAGAAAGATTTTTATCCCTACCCCTCACTTCATTCCAAATGGTTACATTAAATCCAAGCCAAGTAAGACAGTGCATAGGGCCAGAATAAAAGGAAAGCCTCATATTGGAGAGTTGGAGAAGTGGGTTGATGTTGGAGTCTCTTTCTCTATATAAAATCCAGTTGTTTCTGTTGTTTCCAGTGGAAGATGTAAACCTGGCCTTCATAAGGAGCAGAGAAGACATTGAGCATGACAAAAAGGCATTCTTGAATGATAGTGAGTGGGAACTTCTTTCTGTGCCCTCCACATACAGCATCCTGCAGAGCAGCGCTGGAGATTTTGCCCAGATTCAGTTTAATGTAGGTTTTCCTCCTTCTTGTCCCTGAGGCCCATTTCCCTGCAGTCTTTGAGAATCTGTTCTCTGTTGCATATGCATATTCATGAATGCCCAAGGGTAACTGATTCTTACAGCTCTGGTCATCGCCTGCACTCCAGCACTCCAATCCTAGGGCAGGTCTCCTGCTGTAGCAATTTGATTTCACAAATGAAAACAGAGAGAATGAATGGCTTCCAGATACCCAGAGGACTAGAAGCTAAAACCTGGACCACCCATCGCAGCAGGAATCCTTAAATTCCTCAATATTTACTAACATCCTCAGTTTTCATTCCTGCGGAGAAAAAAACAAAACAAACAAAAACCCACAGACCTCACCAAAAAAAGAAAATGAGGAGAAGAGTGTCTAACAGACAGTATGGTCTGATTTTTATTGGTAAGGATTAACTCTAGATGCAGGTACATGAAATTGTCATAGTATTAACCTGAATACCTTGAGGGATTAGCCCACAAACCACCCGTGGGACCCTCAGAGACCACCGGTGGTTTCTGGATCAGAGAGGACAAATGCCCTAAAAGGATGTGAAGAGAACCCACATTCCTCAGAACTAGTAGGAATGCTCCAGAGAGCAAGGGAAATGTGTCCAGCAGGGGCCTGGAGGATGTTGGGGTACATGGGTGCAGCTTGGTACTCTGCCCTCCTGAGACCCCATTCTCCCTTCCGGGCTTTCCTGGTAAACCATCATGACTCACGGTCTGGTCTACAGCAATGTCAACTGGTAGATTGGTAGATTGTTAGTATTCACCAGTATGCTTTGCTTTTTCTATACAAAGTCCACTTGTGGTAGTGCTGGAGTCTTTAATACAAGGTAATGAATCCAATTGAAAAATAGAGTGCAGGTAGGTTAGGAGTGTACTTGAGATGAATTCTTCTAGAAATCAAATCTTTTTGAATAAGAAAGAAAATTTAAACTAGACCAAGGCACCATGGTTACTGCAGACAATTCTATATAACGGGGAATGGAATGAACTGTTATCAAAGGATAGATGCCCCTCCATTAGTTAAAAGGTATTTTGCACAGTTTTCCAACCAAGCTTAGCAAAGCTCTTGTTAAATCAGGGACCCCTGTGATTTGAAGCTGATTAATGGATTGATGGTAGTGGGTTTCATTTTTTTGGTTTATTGCATAATGCTGGGTACTAAGTAATTGTAACTACAGTAGGGTTTGGGCTCTAGCCTAGAATTCTGCTTGGTTTTTAGCAAAGCTTTCATTGCGGTCTGTTTGTCCACTTTTTTTTTTCTTTTCTTTCTTTCTTTAACTTAGGGAAAGAGAGGTAAAAAAGAAAGCTTTTTTAATTTCAATGAGTTTCTTGGCTAAGAGTAAACACCTCATTAATTTTAAAGATATCAGCCCGCAAACATTATTAATGCAGCCGAATAATGGAGAGCATTAAAGGGAAATGTGAGGGAGTAGCACATACAAGGTGGAACATAGTCACCTACCAAGCACTCCTGAGAACGCGGCACACACCATTACCTGCGCTGCACGGAGGAGACAAACAAAGGCGAGAGAAGGGGCAGGTAAACAGGAACACACATGCACACACGTTCTTTCTCCATGGAAGCAGCCATTATTTGGAGTTACACATCACCTTTCACTGCAAGTATTAATTTGTCATCTCAACAACGGTGAGACATTTTCTGTATACTCTCTGAGCCCTGGTGGTGCTGTGGGCTAGGCATTGGGCTGCTAACTGCAATGTTGATGGTTCAAACCCAGTAGCTGTGCCATGAGAAATAAATGAAACTATCTGCTCTGTAAAGATTTACAGTTTCCAAAACCCTACATAGAGTTATTATCAGTTGGAATTGACTTGAGGGCAGTGGATTTGGATCACTATTGTAAATATGATGAGCAGAGATGGTTAAAGATGAAGGCTTCCTGGGACCTCAGGAAACATGGTCTGGTTCCTTTGCTCTGGTCAGTCACTGTAGTGCTTTTTCCCCATTTACAATGTGTACCTGGATGGGTGCTGGAGGCAGGAATGGGTTTGACTGCCTGCTCTTAGTGTTTTTCTTCTGGGCCCCTTTGCCCTGGTGGCTAAGGTAGGCTACATAGCAGTCTTCCAACCCTAGCCCTCTGGAACAGTAGAGAAAAACTACTGAATAGAGTCATAGATTGTATTTGATAGGGCAGGGAGCCAACTCAGAAGGGACTCTGCAACTTTACAGAGACTTCACAAGTAGAATAAGTGACAATCAGTTTCTCTCTCCCTCTGCCTCTCAGCTTCCAAGCTTTCTCATTCCTGCTCTGTGTAGGGTGCTGGACTCATTATGTTGTCTTGCTCCACATCAGACCTCCCTCTCTGAAACACCAACGGAGGCACTCAGGTGTCCTTCAACAGTCCTTGGCCAATGACATGAAATTCAGAGTCAGTCCCATGCCAATACTGGGCCTGCCAGCAAAGGACCATCTACCTCCTAGTTTTATCATCCTCAGTGTTGCAGTCCAGGCTGTCCAGCAAGGGACTAGAGATAGGCGGAGCAAGCAGGGGGAACAATTCTAAATACATTCTCACCTTGGGACTGATGTACACTGCTGCATTTCTATAACATCAGATGCTGTGGATACCCCGTTAGCTTCAGCTAGTGTGCAATCATACCTGCCAGCTCTAGGACACGTATTGTTTATCTGAGGACTCAGCTGATGCTTTGCAGTCAGGCTGTATTCCACAGGGGGCCCCAAGCACAGGCAAGTCTCTCTATGAGGATGTCTGTGTGCAGCCTGGAACCCCATCCAGCAGCCATAGGAGAGGAGGTTTCTTCCAATACATTATTGGACATGCTGGTTCCCAGAAACAGCAAGGTGAGCATTCAACTTCTGTATGGCAGTGTTTTTGGTTTTTTAAAGGAAAAACAATGAAGATAGAAATAAAATTTAGGAACTCATATTGGATGGAAAAGGATGGGCTGCTGTGGTTACTAAACTGAGCTCAACCACAGAAATCCTCACAGTGACTGAAGTGTTCACTCAGGCAGAACTGGAGTATCCACTGAGGACCTCTAGAAAGATGCAAAGGGGAATCTGGGAAAGAAAGGTACCCTGTGTATCTTCTTCTGTCATAATAGTCCTTTCTAAGTTGTTGTTGGTGATGTGCCGTGGAGTCGGTCCCCACTCATAGCAATGGTAGCAGAAAGCCTCATCTTTCCTCCCACAGAACAGCTGTTAGTTTCGAACTGTTGACCTTGAGATTATTAGCCCAACTCATAACCACTATGCTACCAGAGCTCCTTCCTTAGGATAAAGCAATTTGGTCAAGACACTCAGTGAATGGGGGTCATAAACTTGATAGTGATCATTCTGAGCACCACCAGATTGAAAGAGGAGAGGGGAGGAGAGAGGGGAGGGGAGGGGAGAGGAGATGAGAGGAGAGGAGAGGAGAAGAGGAGAGGAGAGGGAGAGTCCTGGAATCATGAACTTTCTGCAAATCCTACCCAACTCACATCAAGATCCAAGAAATTCTCATTCCAGTGCAAAGATCTTACTTACTTGGAAGCAACTCTCCTGTCTTTTCTGAATTGGGAATGTTGGGAGGGGCTTGGGAGAGGAGGAAAATGAGCTTCTGGATGAAACGTGAGTCTGGGCGTCAAAATTCCAACTATGTCATAAAGACGGTCATGCAAAATTGAGTACTGGTGGGGTCTACCATCAAGGAGGCAATTAGAGGCTAACCTTGGGGCCTACTCCATCTCCAAGGAGCTCTCCACACACACATTCTGAATTAGATTGATCTCTTTCATTAACATCAATAGGCTCCAAATACCTTTGTGTACTTATTATTACCTGGCTTTAATGGATAATGAAATTGTGGCATAATATTGCTAACACCTGAAGGGTGTCTAATGGAGAACACAGACTGAAACTAAAGTGCTTTCTCTTCCCTTTCTGTGGAATTTAAAGGCACCAGCTCCTTTAGTCCATTAGAAATGATGGGTTTTAGGTAGGGGCAGTTTCTCTGTGCTGTTGACATCCCTTCCTCCCTGAAAAAGTCGGGGTTACTGCTTTGAGCATGACCTTCTCTAGGGAGGGAGCCTTTAAAAGGACTGGGCACAGTAGGGTAGCGTTATTAATAGATTCCAATACAACTCACTCAATGTTGGACTATCCAATAAGCAAGGTAAGCACTTGCTTACTTGTGCTTACTTATTAATCTGTAGTGAACAGTTTCACATTTTTTCAACACTTTAAAGATTTTATGTCTAGGCATGTCTGACATCTGTCTCTCTCCCAAACTCATAGCACCCCTACAGAATCAAAACCTCTTTTTCAAATTTACATCCTTGATAGGGAAAGAAGATCTAGTAATGAAGGTAAGCATGTGCTTACTTGTGATTTCTTACTAATCTGTAGTGAACAGTTTCACCTGCTGGTGAAAAACATGTGAAATTGTTCATTAGATTAGTAAGTAAACACAATTAAGCCCATGCTTCTCTTGCTTATTGAGTAATCTGACCATGGACTCAGCAAATACCTTTAGAGCTCTTATCGTGTGCCAGACATTGAATGGTAGACATTGAAGTCACAAAGATGAATAAGAAAAAGTTCCAACTTCTGTCATGAACCTCAAGATCTGTCCAGGGAGACATTATAATGATGGTGGTGGTGGTGTGCCGTGGAGTCGGTTCCGACTCATAGCAAGCTTGTATAGGGTTTCCGAGGCGACAAATCTTTATGGGAGCAGAAAGCCTCATCTTTCTCCTGTGGAACTGTTGGTAATTTCGAATTAGCTGAACTTGAGGTTGTTGTTGTTGTTGTTGTTAAGTGCCATCGAGTCGGGTCCGACCCATAGCGACCCTGTACAGGGTTTCCGAGGGTGTAAATCTTTACGGGAGTAGAAAGCCTCATCTTTCTCCCGCGGAGCCGCTGGTAGTTTCGAACCGCTGACCTTAAGGTTCGCAGCCCAATTCGTAACCACTACGCTACCAGAGCTCCTGTAACCACTATGCTACCACAACATTAATTA